CACACACACACACACACACACACACACACACACACACACACACACACACACACACACACACACACACACAGCGTTTGGGTATTTCCCACTGACCTCATTTCTTTCTAGCTGCCTAATGTCAATTTTCATCTCTGTCCTCTCAGTTCTCTGTTTTGTTTTGCTCTCTGTGTTCCTACTGCCCAGTGTCATCACCCCTCCTTTTCAAATTCACTATAACCTCTTGCACTGCATCCATATGCTCCGTCATATATAGGACGTATCTCAGTAAAATGACCTGGCAGGAAAAAGCTTTTTTTTGTCTGTATATCCTGCCATCTTCCATCTGATGAGTACAATGTTTGTCTCGACTGTTATTTCAGCAGCTTTCACATAAAAAGATCCATTTACGAGCAGAAAATTGTGAGCAGGCACGATTTTCTTCCTGTCATGTTTGAAATGAGTTTCATTCTTAAGCTGAGATAGCCCGTATGTAGAGTTTATCCTTCATCTCGCCACACTGAAGCCCTCTCTGCCCTCCAAGGATGTCCTTCACGCTCTTATTTACACTGACTTCACCTGCTGACTCATATTAGTGTTCTAGTCACATCTCTCTCTCTGTTCCCCCTTCTTCACACACCTGGTTGAGCGCAGCGCTAAGTGGATTTGGGATGCCTCCCTCCTTTCTTCTTTCTGTTTTTTTCATGCTAGGACGTACATGTGGGTGTGTTTGTCCTCATATGTTTACGTCTGGTCCCACCTTCTCTCTAAGGCATCTTCTAAAACTAATATGTTTAAGAGTGTCAAAGCACAATGTCTTCCTTAACCGGCTTTGGGCATGAATTCAAAGTGTTCACCTTTGCGTGACATTGTTTTTCTGTTGTGTAAGTCGTCACATTAAGCAATGCGCTGACTCGTGCACACTTTCCTCGTGTCCTGCAGCTGCGTTAATCCGAGGAAACCGCAACAACTGCACACAGTTCTCCAACAACCTGGACTGGCTGGTGAGCAAGCTGGAGAGACTGGAGTCCTCTTCAGGTACACTCATTAGCATTGTGACACATACACATCAGCCTGCAGTGAAACAGCAGTGTGAGAGAGCTTTTGTGCAACATCGCAAAACTATTAAAATTCTTTAACAGGTACAGGAGTCTTTTTTTGAAAGGTGACACTGTTGGCTGAAATCATGGGAATAGCGGCTTTTACTTTTTAAATGTGCAGTAAGGAGTGCACCAGCAGGGTTTTCTGTTGCTCTGTGCGGACAGAATGCATCTTTGACGAGTGTCCTTTGGTGTGTCTTTTGCGAGTGTTAAGTAATTGATGAATTTTGCGGCTGTGCAGGGATTCTGGAAGTTCTGCACTGCATTTTAATCGAGAGCCCCGAGGCGCTCAATATCATCCAGAAAGGACACATTAAATCCATCATATCGCTGCTGTACAAGCATGGACGCAACCACAAGGTAAGCAGTAAGTGTTGTTGCTACACGGTGAAATACACATCTGGGTTGTGCACATGTTGAAAAATAACTATGCAATACAAAGAACAGCAATTTATGTTAAGAAAAAGCGTAACACTTTATAATACGGCCCGTGACTGCAATGAAATTGAATTTTTATGTGTATTTTATTTGAAACTACAAGAAAAAATACCTTTAAAATTTGCAGGTCTATGTGACCTTCAAGATGATGGAGCCAAGTCTAACTAATTTTGTTTTCCTTTCACAATCACTGTTTACTCATAAAGGGACTGTTTACTTTCCTGTAGTACACTTGGGACATTAGGCGAGGTTGAACCACTCCATGCCCACCAAAATGTACAGCACACTTCTTATGTAAGATGGGGAAATATTGGTTGTTTTTCCACAAAATTACCAAGAAATTACTTAAAATGACTTACAATGGAATTTGTGTCTTGTTTTCTTTAATATAAAATATGGTTTAGAGCAGGGGTAGGGCAACTCCTGGCCTCGAGTGTCGATGTCCTGCAGGTTTTAGATGTGTCCTTCATCCAACACAGCTGATTCAAATGGCTAAATGACCTCCTCAACATGTCTTGAAGTTCTCCAGAGGCCTGGGAATGAACTAATCATTTGATTCAGGTGTGCTGACCCAGGGTGAGATCTAAAACCTGCAGGACACCAGCACTTGAGGCCTGGAGTTGGCCACCCACGGTTTAGACTGATTAAAATTACTTACAGTATAATTATTGCTTTGTTCCCTGTAGAAACCTGACTCGTTACCCCATTTTTTTGTGTGTATAAGTATAATTATACTAAAATTTCAAATAAAATACATTGAAATTAGATTGATTTACAAAGTAATACCAGAAAAAAAAGTAAAACCCCAATAAAAGCATAAAGGAATAATGTGATGTTTTCTTTGTTTGTTTATGTGTCTGTACGGTGAATATGTCACAATAACATGCAACCAGTTGAAGTTGTCTTATGACTTATGACTGGCTGCACAACAAATTACTCCTGCTAAGAAGTGCACTAGAACAAAGCATTCAAATAAAAACTGCAAATTATGTTTGAACTTGGTGTTTAATATTTCTTTCAACAGTTGAAGCACACGACATGTCAGCTTCACTGGTGCTTGTGTACCTAACTTGGAAAGAGCAACACTCTTTGCCACAGTCTCCATGCTAAGCTGACCATCTGCTGGCTAGTAGCTGTACATACTGTACAGATGAGTGGGGTTCTTCTTGTTGAGAAGGCTCCTGGAGCTTTTCGTAGCCGCGTGCCCCAACACGAAACAGTCTGTTTAACAGTGAAATAAGATCAGGAGCCGGCCTGGGTCGTAAATCAGCCCGACTGTACCGTTTTGCAGTGGAAGCAGGAGAAAAAGGTCAATGCTAAAGCGTAGGTGTTCTATGCTGTCACCCTTGGCTGAGCATCCTGGCCCATTTAGTTCTACAGCTTTGTTAAGCTAACATCAAAAGGGTATTCTTTAACATGTTTTTGTACCCAGTAACAATCGCAGAGTAATTATGCAGTGGTTGCATATAAAGGGACTGTCCCTCCGGCAGCATCCTGGACAGTGAAGTATAATTAGTCATTTCCAGAAAGGTGCAGATGCACATCTGGGGTATAATAGGGAAACTGAAGTAAACGTGTTGTCATTAGTGAGTGTTAAGTGCTGTTATGGTCTTCCATTAGATGGTGTTGCTTATTATCCCTACCTCCTTCACCTTCTTTTTTAGATACTAGATGTGCTCTGTTCACTGTGTGTGTGTAATGGCGTAGCTGTGCGAACCAATCAGAACCTCATCTGCGATCACTTGCTGCCCAAGAGAGATCTGCTGTTGCAAACCCAGCTGGTCAATGATGTCCAGAGGTTAGAGAGCCATTTATTTATCTTGCTATCTTTCTCCTCCTTGCTTCTCTGATAACTCAGCCCACAGTTATTTCTCTAGAGTCTGAAGCTTACTTTCAGTTTATTAATCTGGTGAGGATCTTTTGTGAAATCATTATGTTTTTTAATTTGTTTTTTATCTTAGTAGTTAAATAACTTTGTAAGGAATGTTGCAGTTTTTTAAGTGAAAAGTACAATATTGTAATTAAAAATGTAACTCTGGTGGTGATGTCACATTGCACTTCTTTGCCAGCATGAGACCGAACATCTTCCTGGGCGTGAGTGAAGGCTCAGCTCAGTACAAGAAGTGGTACTATGAACTCATGATCGACCAGGTGGACCACTTTGTGACCAGCGAGCCCTCCCACCTCAGAATCGGCTGGGCGAACACAAAAGGCTATGCACCCTACCCGGGAGGAGGAGAGGGCTGGGGTGGTAATGGAGTTGGTGATGATCTCTACTCGTACGGCTTTGATGGACTCCACCTCTGGTCAGGTGGGTGGGACAAGCCGGTGTCTGGAGTAACTAAAGCATTAGAAGATGAGCGGTAACCCTGGGTTACAGCCAAGTTGTGTCTAGACAGAACCAGTGCCCTGCAGGGACGATCTCCTTGCCCAGAGTCTGTGTCGTTGTGCGCAAATGTGTGTATCCAACAGTATGTGTGTGTGTGAGAGAGGGAGGTAGAGGTGTGATTTGTGCCAGCACAACTCACTAGGTCGTATTTCACATAGCAGTTTGTGCGTGTGTCCCGATCAGGTCGTATCCCGCGGGCGGTTGCGTCCATGAACCAGCACATTCTGACCTCAGAGGACGTGGTGAGCTGCTGCCTGGACCTTGGAGCCCCCAGCATATCCTTCAGGATCAACGGACAGCCCGTCCAGGGCATGTTTGAAAATTTCAACACAGACGGACTCTTCTTCCCTGTTGTCAGTTTCTCTGCAGGTGTCAAGTGAGTGTGTATTTTTTCTGTTCATATGCTTTATTAGACGTTAACAGGCAGAAAAAACTCATATTTATTTATTCTAAAAATTCTATCTTTATATTCTGACTTTCATTTTGTCTTCGAGGCTTTTAGATTAGACGCGGCTTAAAAAACAGGAAAAAAATTCTGTTTCCATGGTGACCACTGATAGTGTGATTGATGTGACTTGAAAATGGAATTTCAAGCTCCAGCAGTTTTCCCACAATTCCATGATCGACTCCGACTTTGAAGAGCACAGTAGCCTTTTGCCACGTTCCCTCTGAGACACCTGCCACAATGTTTGGTCATGTTAAATATTAGAAAATGAATTTATTTAAAAAAAACGTCAGAGTTCAATCATCATTCATTTAAAAAAAAGTGGTTCATCTGTGTGGCTAAGAAAAGGAAAGAAAAAGGCGTAACGCTCCGCTTGATTTCCCCGTCTCTCAAATCATTTTCATGCATTTTTTTCCACAAATGATGTCACTTTTAATAGCGTCATTGTTCTCACACTGTCTGTATTATCTGATGTGCAGAAAAGATTCATTGAACAATGTGTGTTACTGACCCAGTTGTTACGCTGGTTAACAGAAGTTAGATAAGGAGTTTATTACCACTCACACACACGCTCATGTGCCAACATGCTGCATGAGAATTGCTTGAAATATTAAACAGTTCCTTTTTAAGGGATTTTAGTGGTTTTTTGTGACAGCTTGCTGTTACTTTGCACCTGGTGCTAAATTGGAGCAAGTGGAGGATTGGTTGTTCTTGTTAGGTTAAAGGTTAAAGGTTAAATGTATTTATGTAACATGTTTAAAACAGAGTTGACCAAAGAACAAAGACAACTAATGATTCATTGGCCCCTTCAAGAGGTCACTGGTCAGTTTCATGTTTTTTTTGTTAGTCTTTGCTGTTGATTGGAAGCCTAAATAACCTTTTAGATCATGAAATATGTTTCTTATTTTACAAGCGTTTCATCTTCGGTCAATGCATTCTACACTCAGAAACACTGAGCCATACTAAGGATTGGCATGGACTCAGAAAATGCGCTCAGATGGGAGTTTGTGTGTATCAAGTGTTTATTTTCAAGTTGGCGAATAAGCATATCTAATGTGGTGGAAGCTGTGGGACTGAGCGTGCGCATGTGAGGTCTGGGGAGGAGGAGGAACAGAGTTAGCAATGGTTCAACCGGAGGTCGTGATTTGTGGACTGGATTGTGGAACCTGGAAATGGTCTTATTTGAGTGGGAGGTGCTTTGGGGAGGAGGCTAGTTTCCACAGTAGGGTGGATCGGTGGAGAGTGGGCAGGCAGGTGAGCAGGTGAGTCTTCTCCTTTACAGGTTTTTATTTGTAATGTATCTTTATTTCAGACATATACAGAAAAAAAACAATATATACACAACTACACATACTTGCATTTACAAATACGAATATATATGTAAATACACACACACACACACACACACACACACACACACACGTATGTGCTCAGATAAAACAAAAAAAAATAAAATAAAACAAAGTCTAAATGACATGAAATGACAATTATTAGGTCTGAAATGGAGTAGGAAGAAGTATAACATACTTATTAATCCCTACCCCCTGCTCAACATTTTATTGAATGCCACTATTCACCTAATTCCCATCATCACTTACCCCACACAATAAACAAGGAGAACATGTGTAAACATAGCTACAGTGATAGATATAATTTAGATACAATTTAGTATATTTATACACACAATGGGTGATCAACTTTATCAGTTTCATATTCTTCCTAAAGCAGTTTTCGAAACATCTTTATGAACTGACTAATTCTTGAGCATTGCTGTAGGTCCACAGTAAAACTATTCCACAGTTTTACCCCATAAATAGTAAAACAAAAGGTTTTAACCTTTGTCCGTGCTTTAAGAGTCTTCAGATTTAATTTCCCCCTCAATTCATAGTCCCCTTCTTTGTCAAAAAACATCCTCTGTACATTTCCTGGTAACATATTGTATCTGGCTTTGTACATAATTTTTGCAGTTTTATATTTTATAAGATCCATAAACTTCAGAATTTTTAATTTCAAGAACATAATGTTAGTGTGGTCTCTAAATCCTGCTTTAGTAATCATCCTGATTGCTTTTTTCTGAATTTTACATAATGGTTGAAGTGAAGTTTTGTATGTATTTCCCCAGATTTCCACACAGTATTCCAAATATGGCAATATAAGTGAACAGTAAAGTACCCGGAGTGATTTGGAAGGCAAAAAATGTGTTTCTGAGGTTCCAAGCTGAAGCGGGCACATGTGGCTGAAAGGTTTTCACAACTCTGGAGTTCCAGAGATTCCAGAGAGACACGTGATTCAATAGTGCATGAGATTGGTGACTGAAAAGAGTGGAGAGACTTAGGATCGCAAGTTCTACATCAGCCCAGCACACCTGGTAAAGGTGTGACAAGAACAAACCAGTCAGGGGACGAGTCCTGATGCCAACCTCACAGCTTATAATAACAAAGAGGTTCAACGTGCAAAGACCCTTGAGCTGCTTCATTATTACAGACCGAGTGAAAGAATCCAAATTGTCTATAATTTCATAAAACAGGCTGTTTGGAACGGACTCGTCCTTTTTAGTAGTTGAAGTGTTGTCAAGGTCTGATCTGACTCTTTCATTGGTCGGGTGATTGTACAGCTAACACTGTGTTGACCAGTCACAGCAGAGCGTGAGCGTGTGGAAGCTTGGAATTGGCCCAGTGAACAGGGTGAACGTCTCCACGGACTTAAACGTGCCAGAACATGACAGCCACACATCCTCAGTGCTTAATAATTGAGGGCCGCAGTGAGAATGAGCTCGGTTGCGTCACTGCTACTACTTGAACTGCTATTTTGAGCAGCCTCGAGAGACGGTTTTGCAATGTTTTTTTCATTCACAGAACTAAACGTGTCCCCATTGGAGTAGAACCTGTTTAAGAGAGTTAAGAATAAAAGTAGAGGATTCGTTTTCTTTTCACTAGTCGCTTCTTTTATTAACAGCATTTAATTTTCTTTTAGTGTGCACGTAAAACATTGCAATAAGCCAAGTCACGTGAGCAACTTTTCTCTGGTTAGGGTTCGTTTCCTGTTGGGCGGACGGCACGGTGACTTCAAGTTCCTGCCTCCATCAAGCTACGCACCGTGTTATGAGGCTCTGCTGCCAAAAGAGAAGATGAAGGTGGAGCCGGTGAAAGAGTATAAGAGAGATGTGGACGGAGTTCGAGATCTGCTGGGCACCACCCAGTTCATGTCGCAGGCCTCCTTCATCCCCACACCTGTGGAAACCAGCCAGGTAAGCTCACAGGAGGCGTGCAGGATGGTGATCATGAGAAAAACGCCTCCTTTTTCACAAAGGCTGTGATGCAGTGTGACATGTAAAGAATGCAAATCAACTGAAAAAATGCTCATCTTCAATTTGATGCATCTTGTGTATTTGTGTAATTTTTCCAAAAGAATTGCATTACTTTGTTTCAACTAGTGATTTTTTTGCATTCTATAGTTTGCACAACTTTTTGGAAAATGCTCATTTGCTTACCTGTTCCTTCAGATTGTCATGCCGCCTCATTTGGAGAAGGTTCGGGACAAGCTGGCTGAAAATATCCATGAGCTCTGGGGCATGAATAAGATTGAGCTTGGCTGGTCTTATGGCAAGGTAAGGGTTAGATTGTTAATGAGATTGTTATTTAGTTGCTTATGTTGTTCTCCTACAAGTTCATCGCTCGGATCAAAAGATAAAAAGCATACTCCATGCCGTTTTCCATGTTTGTGGAGAAATAAGCACGACAATTACAATTTTTTCTCGATGAGTGTGACAACTTACCATCACAGAGGCTTGTGTGTCATCTTGCTTTCTCTTTTATAATTTGCGGTTTACACCAAAAAGAGGGTAAGTGGAAAAAGAACACTGTCATTGTTCACATTCAGCGCTTTTCCACGCCACTCATTTACATCCTTCATTCACATCCAGTTTGTTTGTAGGTAGCAGAGTCATTGTGTCTGTGTTCTAGTGTCAGTCATGAATTACAAATTGTTGTTTCACCCAAAGGGCAGAACAGGATGTCTTGGCAATTTCATCACCTCAATAAACCCAGACTAAAATTTGCATTTTGTTTTTTGTTTTTCTCCTTTTCAAAGAAAAACTGATGGAGTTTCTAATTCTTTAAATGTTCAGAGGGTCAATCAAAACACATGACATAACCCGCTATGAGCCAGAAACCAATCAAAAGGCCTGTCTATATATTCGGAGCAGATGTTGTATCTTTTCTCCTGCTACTGATAGGAATCTGAGAATGTGATTGTATGCTATACTTAGATTGGAAGATTAATGTGAAATTGAGATGAGGCTGTGTTAGTCTGTGTTATTCTTGCCTCTGCTGGCTATGTCCAAAAAATTGCCAGATTAACAGCCGATGTTTTCTATTATTAACTGGCATCAAGCCTGATCAAGCATAAAGACCAGAAGCAGTGGGAAACACCTAGTCTGGATCTGTGGGGCAAGTTCAAAAGTATATCTGACTTAGCTTTTGAGCTCTTTTATCGTCGGAGAGCTTATGCTTGAGGTTTTTTAAGCTGAAGTCTCCTGGCTTCACCTGTAGTGAAATCAAATTCTCATCTAAACTCCCTAAAAGAACAAATTAGTGTATTTCCCAATACAGTCAGCTGGAAACGCATGCTTATAATTACAGTGTACGCAGTGCAATCAGCAGGCTCCTGCAACAGAAGACAAAAACTGTACCTGATTTAAATTCAGCTCCATCCCACTTCAAGTTCTCCTGCTGTGTTTGTATTGTTTACTCTCTGCTCGGGTCTATTGTAAGTCACGGTTGCACAAGTGGTCAAAAAGAAGGCACGTCCAAATTTCAGTCGGTTATGGTTTCATCTGTTTAACTCCAAATTCTAGCTGATGGCTTTCTGGTTTGTTGTATAGTTACCACAGGATAACGCCAAAGTGACCTGTTTTGCTCTTAAAGGAAGGAAAAACAAGAAACCAGCAACAAGACGCAGCTCTTATGTCTATAATACAACATGAGAATTCTGCGCTAGCTTGTAAGCTTTCACTCTGTCCTCCTCCTCGAAAAATCTTTGATTTAGGACAAAGACAAGTCTGAGATTTGGTAAACAACAATAATAAACTAGTTTTATTGTCAAGGTTTTTTTAGCCACGTGAGTTGGAGTCAGTTATACATGTGGTAGAGGTCACATAGCAGATAAAATAAACCTGTTTTTGCTATTTAGCACTGGTTGCATGTAAATATGAAAGAGGAGATTTCCCATAGTTCTTGTACTATTCACAAAAGAGCTGGCTGCTATTCATTGGACCCACGGAAACAGCTGCATATCTGTACACAGCCCTGCATGTTTTCTTGGTAAACATCCACCATTGCCATGCCACCTCCTCTGAGCAGCATTGCCAAAGGGATTATTTGGCTTAAAGCGCAGCCTCGAGAGACGCATTACGCCTCTCACTCGGTATTCCTGCCATACAGCTCTCTGGCTCTGCCAAGAAAACATGCTCTCTTGTCCCTCTCTCATAACATGTTCACTAGAGTAGTCTAATCACTGCAACTAGTAGCACCCAGGACTTAAACCACATGCCCGCCCCCCTTGTTAGTTCACAGTGACAATGAGTTATGAGGCTGTGTATCTCATATGCATAGATCTAGTAGGACTTGATGTACATATGAATGCAGAGCTGCTGAACAGCAATGATGAGAACGTCAGGAGGTGTTTGATATGTGTGTTTTTTCTCTGTTTTCCTCACAGATAAGGGATGATAATAAGCGGCAGCATCCGTGCCTGGTGGATTTCTCCAAGCTGCCGGAAACAGAAAAAAACTACAATCTGCAGATGTCAACGGAGACTCTGAAGTACGGCGAACATGATGGATTGTTTTTGTCTTCATGGACAACACCTCTGTTATAAAAATAGCCTAAAAAACCATATCTGACATATTATTCTCAGATAATGCATTTTCTTTTTTCGTTGGATTTAAACTATTTATGAGGAATATCACAAGTTTAGCTAACAGTTCACTGATTTCATAGTAAAGCTGAAGCGATGACGTGCTGTAGTTTAGTTGTTAGCACTGTTAGGACTTCTTAGCTTTTCTTTCTCTATTGGAAAAACACACACCAGCTACAAGGCTGTGGGCATTCCCATCCTTGACAGAGGTTTCCGCAACGCTGGCTCCACGTGTAGGATGACCTGCCTGTGTTGAGATTGTCATGCCCCATTTGATGAATAAATGGAGTATCTATTGCTCTAGACTACCAGTAGTCCTCTCTTCTTTAGAGAGACCAGGCTTTCAATACTTACACAGAAATGTGCAAAATGGAGGGGTAGGGTTGAGGTGGAAAGGCCCATCGCAGGTGATTTACATAAATGCTCTTCGAATCAAAAACATAAATGCATGCCGTCATTAATCTTGATCTGCTGCTTTGGGAGACACATCTGGGTGACAGGGACGAGTTCCTGAAAGACATCAAACTCACTTTTACTGTCGCTCCGTCCGATCACGAGGTGTGATTCACTTGGCGCCCGTTTCGTTGCCGTGGGTATTGCTCGGCCTTTCTTGTGTAACAGATTAGGACACGCGTAATTTAACCCATCGTGCTCTGTTTGGACACATTCAGCAGCCTCTCTGGTTCTTTGCATATACTGTCAAATCAGTTTATTGGTCACTGTGGTTATTTTTTTCCCCTGCAGGACTCTGCTGGCCTTAGGCTGTCGTATAGTTCACATGAATCCAAATGCTGAGGACTCTCTCAAAAAGATAAAGCTCCCTAAGAAGTAAGTGGGTATGATTATAGCAACGATACGAGCACACGCACTACTCATGATATTGATTGTACATCACACAATTGGACAGTAATGACTAGGCCGCTCTATAGTAAGACAGTAAGAGAAATGAAATAGTCAAAATATTTGGTAACCCAATCACAGATCATCCAAAAATGTCCAGCAGTATAAGAAATAAAGGATATTTATTGTGTTTACTGCCATAGAGATTCCCATCAGGCTGTAAATGTAACTAAACTGGTCCCTGTGGTTTAACTGTATCCATAACTGGGGGAAAAATTCCCTTTTCATTGTTTTTTCCTGTAGCTACATGATGTCCAATGGTTATAAGCCGTCCCCTCTGGACCTGTCCGATATCAAACTGACTCCGGGGCAGGAGCTGCTGGTGGACAAACTGGCAGAGAACGCTCACAATGTGTGGGCCAAGGACCGGATCAAACAGGGATGGACATACGGGATTCAGCAGGTATGCTCAAATCCACCAAAGAATCGACACCTTCGCCAGACATGTGAACAGCGCCGAGGTTTGGTTAGAAGTGAAAGACGAATAACAACCTTAGATCACTGTGAACACATCTAGGAAAACACATGCTTTAATGTTCAAATTTGATTGAAGAGATTTAAAAAATAGCTTCTCAGAGAACAGGTACATTCAAAAGCAGACATTGTTGCTGTAAAGTGCTTATGAGTGCATCCCTATAATCTAAGAGCAGCAGCTTTACATTGTCCAGAGGTCTGTACAAATTACTCAGCCAGAAAGTAGTAATGTTCCTGGACATCTGGTGCAGTCTATCCGG